TGTGTGTGTGTGTGCATGGTGGTGCAATGGTTAAAGCACTAGGCTGTTAACCAACTTGTCAATAGTATGAACCCACCAGCTGCTCCATGAGACAAAGATGAGGCAGTCTGCTTCCATAAAGATTTACAGCCTTTCTACTCTGTCCCATAGGGTCAGGATCGACTTTGGCAGTGGGTTTGGTTTTTCAGCCCCTTTCACTGGGTTTTTAAACGATCATGGGCCAGTGAAGCTGGGCCCATGGAGATCATCAGTTTAGCTTATCCTATTATACAGATGCGGAAACTAAGGCTGAAAGATCAGGACTTGCTCTGGATCAGAGAGGTCTAGAACCCCTGACTCCTGACTTCCAGCCAGCGCTCACTCCCTTGAACCCTTAGGGAGTCTCTGCCTCCATCTGATTCTATGGGAATCCCATATGCGGGTAAATTCATAAATATACATAGATGGGGGATAGGAATGAGGACTGAGACCAGCCTGGGAGCTGGGATCCTGGAGTCCCTCCCTTGTCTTGGGTCCCCACCCCCTGGGCAGGGCCCTGAGCTACCTGTAGTGGGAGCCTCTCGTCAGCTATAATGGCTGCCTTGGTCCAATCGATGACCTCGGAGAATGGCAGCTCCCAGTGGGGGCTGAGAAGTACAGGGATGCAGCCAGCCTAGGGGAGAGGGGTTAACTGGGGCACCCAGTCCCACCTTACACATACCCCCTCCCACTTCTGAGCCAGCGGCTGCTGCTGTGTGGGGCAAGAGGCAAAGAGGAAAGGAAAGTGGCGGTGGAGGTGGTGGTTTGGGGGGAGGTTGGGCTCTGCAGAGGGTGTATATGGCCACAACATAGCTGAGTCCCAGAGTAAGGGAGTGGGCAGCTCATGGCCTCTGCCCATTGGCCTGGGCCCAGGGAAGCTGGCTGGCTCAGGAGTGCACGGAAGACAGAGTGGAGGATGCCGAAGTCGGGGTTGTACCTGCAAGGCTTGGAGGAAACGTAAGGCATCAGAGCGGCGGCCTGGGATGAGGCAGAAGGTGGCGTTGGGCAGCGTTGCCCTGGGGTGAGTCCTAAGGAGGCACATGAGGGGGTCCTGCACACATGAGGTCTGAGACAGCAGCCCTCCACTCCCGTTTGGGGGATGGCTTCCTCAATGGCCCACAGCACCCCACACTGACACTCCCAAGTACACAGTATGCAAACCCACCAACATGCTCTCACATGGTAACACGCACAGCCTCATGCTCATACGCTAACACGAATGCTAGCCCCACACCTGCCCTTCACCTATAGGTGGAGAGGAGGCAAGAGCCCTGGGCTCTAGCTCTGGCTCTGCCCTTGGTGGCCTCAGATGCCTCCCTTCTCCTTTCTGGGACTCGGTTTCCTCATCCACAAAATGGGGGACAGGGTGGAGCCTGATGTTTCCAAGGCCATGTTTGCAGAGGCATATCTACGGAAAATAGTGCTTACGGCAAGCACTGAAATTGTGCAGCCCCTGTCCAAACATCTAACACTCATCTTTTTGGTAACTATACCATGTTGTTGTTGTTGTTGTTGTTATTATGTGCCGTCGAGTCAGCCCTGACTCATAGTGACCCCTCCTTGGGTTTCCGAGGCAGTATCACTACGGAAGTAGGATTGCCCAACCTTCCTTCCGAGGAGTGGCTGGTGGGTTTGAACCGCCAGCCTTCTGGTTAGCAGTCAAGTGCCTTAGCTGCTATGCTACCAGAGCTCCTAACTATACCATAGTATCGCTTAAAAATACAAATCAAGCTCATTAATCTTTTACTTAGCACATTATAAGGAGGGCTGGTGGCACAGTGTCTAAGGCATTTGACTGCTAACCAGAAGGTTGGTAGTTCAAACCCACCAGCCACTCTGCAGAAGAAAGACTGGAGAATCTACTTTCATAAAGATTTATTGTCTTGGAAACCCAAAGGGGGTCGTTATGAGTCAGAATCGAGTCGATGGCAGTGGATTTGTGTGTGTGTGTGTGTTTTTAGTACATTATGGCACTACAGGAAAATTACAACTGCACCTTCCTTGCTTTCCCTGATGACATTGGTCTATGATGAACTCAAAGTCATTTTCTTCAGTTTCTTCTCTTTCTATACTCAGCAGAGCAAGATCACACAGTCTGCCTTGGCCCAGGGACGTTCTCAATTCGAAAGTATTAGTTATAACTTGCTGACTGATCTGTCACAGCTGGTGATGGAAACTGTGATGATTAATAGAAACTGCTCAGTAGCGCCTCCCCTTCAAGTGATGCCCAGGGCATGTGCCATACCTGCCGTACCTTAGATATGCCTCTGCTTGTTTGACTTGGACGTGCACGCGGTTGCCCTCCCACTACCCTGCCACCCACAGTCTCTGGGCACCCCTCACCTGAATGGCCTCCACCCTCAGCCCTCCCCAACTCAACAGCCCAGGCCCATGAAAGCCTGCTCTGTCACGAGGTAGGCTGGGCCACCAGCCTGGAACCGCACAGGAAGCTGCTGCCCAGAGGCCCCCTCATCCAGGACAGGCCTCTTCTATTCCTCCTGAGCCCTCCCCTCAGCCACAGGGCCACACTCAGGCTGTGAGTTCCTGTGTGTGGAGGGGCAGGAGTTACAGCCTCCTCAGAGCCCCTCTCTGGGATTGGCCCCTCTGGGAACCAGAGGAGAGACCCAGGTCCTTGGGGCTCACAGGGCCTCAGAGTGAGGATGATAGGTAGTGCCCAGAGGGTCCCAGACCCTCCTCAGCTACAGCTCACCTGGCTCTGAGCCTGAACCTTCAAGAGGTAGACCTAAGAAGGCTTAGCCAAACTCTGGGCCAATCCCCATTGGGTAGATGGGGAGACTGAGCCCCAGAAAAGGCCAAAGACTTGCTCAGGGTCACAGAAAGTATTGGGACAGAGCTGGGACCACAACCAAGGTATGCCAACTCCCAATCCTGGGTTATTTGAACCACCCCAGAGCTTCTGCTTAGGCATCTCCCAGAGGGTCCCTGCCCTCTTTCTCCTCCTAAAGCTCAGATATCCACCAGGCTCCCCCTGGAAGAAGCTGAAGGCTAACACCAGGACACCTTCTACATCATTAAGAGCCACAGCACCATCCAGCCAGCTACAGACCCCCTTTCCCACCTCCCACCCCAACCCAATAAAGCCCTGTTGTTATTGTTGTATGCCCTCGAGTGATTCTGACCCACAGTGATCCTACAGGACAGGGTAGAACTGTCCCCTAGGTTTTCCAAGCCTATAATCTTTACAGAAGCAGACTGCTACACCTTTCTCCTGCAGAGCAGCTGGTGGATTCAGACTGCCAACCTTTCGGTTAGCAACTAAGCTCTTAACCATACCAGGCTCTAAGCGACTGACAACTCCTAAATTTAAGGCTTCTGGGAGTTCAAAGACACAAAGACCCTGCTGAATAAACTGTACCCCTTAGCCTTCATTAACCTCCATTGCCCTCTCCTCTGTGCCTTTGCATACCCCCTTTTTTTCTCTACCTTTCCATGCCTTGCTCTCCTGAAAAGTTTCTCCTACTCAGCCTTGATGGCTAAGCTTAAACATCACCTCCTCTGGGAAGCCCTCCTTGATTGCTTCCTCTGCTATGTTCCCATAGCCCCTGTGTTCATTGTAACAGTAATGACCTGAGGTAACCTTTTTGATCATGGACTTAGCTTCCAGGCACTGTTCTAAGAGCTTTACATCCATTGCCTCACTTCATTCTCACAGCAGCCATAAGAGATGAGAGGTCTGTACTGTGATCCCATTTTACAGCTGGGGAAACTGAAGCTTTTACATGGAGAAGCCAGGTAGGCAGCTCTACTTAACGAAGAATGTCATTGCCGTTGACTCATTTGTTTCTCCCATAAGACGGAGTTACTTGAGAGCAGGGGCTGTGCCTTCCTCATCTCAGTATCCCCAGGGCCTAGCAGTGTGCCTGACACAGAAGAGGTGCTCAATGGGTGTTAAATGAATGAATACTCCGTTTGGCAACAGAATAGGTTATTTTCAGCACAAATTCTAGTAGCAGGGCTGTCTGGAAATAGAGGCAGTGTGTGGCCCTGGGAGATAGTGAATTTCCCATTAGTAGAGGTAAAGAAACAGAGTCTGGGGGGTGGAGATTAAAGAGGGGACTGGTACACATGAGAGGAGACCACTGATGAAGTCTCAGGAATCTTAGGAATCTGTGGTCTAGCAAATTGTCTACCCCAGAATCGGGCTATCAGTGCTAAGGATGAAACCAGCGTCACGTTTGGCTCCAGGGCTCTAGGACAGTCTAGCCATGGGCAAAGCCCTAGTAACTTCCGTGGGCCCTAGGGACGTTGGCCTTCATGGGATCCTCCTTTCATTAAAAATACATTTTTTAAAATTATATTTTATAACTATGTTGGTGAAAAGACAAATATATTAATATTACATATTAAGGCATTCTGGCTAATAGTTCCTTTTTTTTCTTCCTGACTTGGAAAGAAACAAAAACAGTTTTGCAGCCCCTAAAATTATCGTGTGTCCTGGGCTCTGTGCCTCCTGTACCTAATGTTACAGGCAGGGAAACTTTAAAACATGCATTGAATTTATCTTTAGAAAAAAGTGGGGCAGAATATATATGCATATTGCTTGTAGAAACAGAGTATCTCAGAAAGGAAGCACAAGAAACCATGTGTTTACTTCTGGAAAGAGAACTGGGTGGCAGGGAAACAAGGTGGGAGGGAGACTTTTTACTGTATATCCTTTGGTGCCCTGTGAATTTTATACCATGTGAATGAATTACCTGTTCATAAAAATGAATAAGGAACGATTTCAATGGGTGGGAATTTACTCCAAAGCAACAGGAGACTGACTATTCAACTAAGGTGGAAAAACACAGGCTTTGGAGCCAGCCATGCAGATTCCAGCTCCACTGCTTCCAAGTATCTGATCAGAAGTGGGTGGGGCCATGCTGGACAGAGAACCTTGTCACCAAAGGCCCTCTCTCAGCCTCAATTTCCTGCTTCCTTGAATTGGGTCTAATGCCTTTCTTGAATGCTGTTTGAGATGCCTAGCAATGGCTTATATAAAGTGCCTGGCAAAGCACGCAGCCCAGAGCAGGCCCTCCCCCACCTCCTTTCCCCTAGTGCCAGCAGAGTGAATAGTGCCCGTGGAGGCAACTGTGAGCTGCCTCTCTCTCAGGCCAGCTTTTGTTTATTCAGGCCACCTTCCGGGGACTAGGCCTGCAGCTGTAGGCCTCACTTACTCTGACCCTCCACTGTCTGTCTCTCTGGCCCAGATAGCTACTTAGCACTTCAGGGAAACTGAGGCTCCCGCTACCCCAGAGGTTAGAAATCCTGTCACCCAAAAGTTGGCTGAGGCCAAAGACAGAACTCTCTGAAGTTCTGAGGACTATTAGAACTGCTACTCAGAAGGCAGCCCAGGCTGAGTGGAAAGCCTGGCCAGTTCTAGCCAATTTTAGATTAATCTGTAAACATTCAGTGGGCACCCAGAGGCATATCTAGGCTATGGATGGTATGGCATGTGCCCTGGGCACCACTTAAAGGGGGCACCAAGGAGTACTTTCTATTCGCCATCACAGTTCCCATCATCAGCTGTGAGAGGTCATTCAGTAAGTTAAAACTAATCGCACAGGCAGTGTTTTCCACAGACATGCCTCTGTGGGCCCCTACTATGTGCAGCCCCTTGGGAACACAGAGTTAGGTCTGGGGTCGTAAGTTGAAGTCTGAGCCTGGTTCTCCATGGGGTCACACAAATGTATATGTATCCCTAACATTTCGCTTCTCAGAGAAACCCAGACCAGGGCTTTGGACCAATTCATTCCACTTTTACCGCCTGCTGGGAATTTGTTTCCACTCCAGATATATTTAATCAGAATCTACATTTTAATAAGATCATCCAGGTGATTCATTTATATATATATATATACATATATGTATATATATGTGTGTATGTGTGTGTATGAAATGTAGATTCTAACTCAATATATCTAGGGTGGAAATGCAAATTCTCAGCAGGGGGTTGACCTGGAATGAATCTGTTAGAAGCTCTGGTCCAGTATAGAATAGTTTTCAGATTCACCAATAAGCCAATTCATTTACCTGTGACTGATGTCAGCTAAGGAACCTTGGTAGCACAGCGGTTAAGCTCTTTGGCTACTAAGCATTGATGGCTTGCACCCACCTAGCTATTCCTCAGGAGAAAAGATCTGGCCATCTGCTCCTGTAAAGATTCCAGCTTAGAAAACCCTATGGGACCATTCTACTCTGTCAGTGGGGTCGCTGTGAGTCAGAATTGACTTGATGGCATTTAATAACAAAGACAGCCAAAAGAACTTCCTGTAAGCAAGAATAGCTAAGTGCATAAGTGCTCAGCTGCTAACTGAAAGGTTAATTGTTCAAACCCACCCAGTGGCCCCATGGGAGAAAGACCTGGAGATCTGCTCTTGTAAAGATTCAGACCAAATCAAAAACCAGACTCACTGCCATGAGTCGATTCTGACTCATAGCAACCCCCATAGAGCTTCCAAGGCTGTAAACCTTCACAGAAGCAGACTGCCCCACCTGTCTTCCGCAGAGCGGCTGGTGGGTTTGAACCACTGACCTCTTGGTTAGCAGCTACAGACCTTAAGATTACTGCCTAGAAAATCCTATGAGGCAGTTCTACTTTACATGGAGTCACTAGTTGAAATCAACTCGATAGCACAAGACAACTATAACGACTTAGTCAGAAAAGTGCAGTGGGGGTATGTGGCATGGTGAATGGAGAACTTGGCCACCAAAGGTGAGCTTCTATCTAAGCTCTAAGCTAGCAGTGCCTGGTCTCCCAGGAGCCCCAAGCAGAGGCAAAAATGGAGCTTGGTCACATGCGGAATTCCTGGGAGGAAAGTGAAGCTGAGAATAGCTTCTGTTGTCCTAACAGAGAACAGGGAGATATAGCGAGATACCTGAGGGAGGGAGGGAGGGTAGGATCCCAGAATGCCTCAGGTATAGAGAGGGAAGCCTGTGCCCCAGGGGCCCTGGACAGCCTCAGAAGGACTTGTCGTGAATTCTTGCCTGTCCAGTCAGCCTTTGGAAACTGCTGGCCTCCTGGAGGTGCAGTGGATGATCAGGGGTTCAGGGCTCTGTTACCTGAGGTGTGACCAACTAGCTATGGTGGAGAGAAGTTTCTAGACAAGTTTTCCACCTCCTACAAACTGTGTAAGGAGCTCTGCTGGTGTAGTGGGTAAAGCATTTGGCTGCTGACCCCCAAGGTTTGTGTTTCAAACTCACCAGATGCTCCATGGGAGGAAGATGAGGCAATCTACTTCTGTAAAGATTTACAGCCTTGGAAACCCAATGGGATTGCTATGAGTCAGATGCTCCTTATGTAATGTTTAGGCTCCTTAATGTAATGTTTAGGCTCCTTATGTAATGTTTAGGCATCCTCACTGGCAGGAAATTCTTCTTTAGGTCTTACCTAAGTCAGATTTGCTATAACCAAGGACTATTTCCTTGAGCAGTTAATCTTCCAAATTAGAGGTGTTTTTGACCACTTACTAATCTCCATGGTCTCTCTGAGTCATTTGACTGGACTGACAGTCTCTCAGAATTCTAATACTGAGGGCTTCGGTGACAGATAATTCTGGACTCAAACACTAGCTGTGCTCTCTAGCTGTGTCACTTCAGACAAGCTACTTAACTTCCCTGAGCTTCAGTGTCTGGTATACAAACACTTAAATGACAGCCATTAGTATTATTTTATTATTGTCATTATCTTTTTAAAATTAATATTTATGAAAGTGTAGACATTATCAAAATGTGTGTTAAATAATATATCAGGGAAGGAGGGGTTAGAATGAGGGAAAGGGAGAAAGTAGGAATGAGTCATGTTTTACATTTTTGAAGATCCCCAAGGGAGAACTCCAAAACTTGCCTCTGACACTCCTTGCATCATATCACCATCTTGGTGGAAGTGTTCTCTATTGTCTAACTTAATTCCCTCCTGCTGCAGCTGAGGCCTGAGTTTGCCAAGACCAGTTGGTTCTCCCATCTCAGTCTTGCCCTCTCCCCTGGCCTCTGGGCTCCTTCCTATCACACCCCTCCCTCTCCAGCCCCTAAAAGGAATGATCCACTTACTGCTCAGATCCAAGGTCCTGCTCACAGCGCCCATCCCAAGGGCAGGCAGGAGAGTTAGTGCCTGCCACGCGCCACCCACCTCTCTCCTCTGCCAGGGCTAGCAGGCTCTCCCCAGGGTGGGGACTGTGCTGCTGCAGCTGGCCAAGAGCCCCACCTCGAGATGGGTGGGCTTCAGGGAGAGGTGGGAGGGCTACGTCGAAGCCGGGCCGGAAGGTGTCCACCATGGGGCTGGCCTCAGCCACCATGGCCTGTCCCAGCTGAAAGGTCTTGGGGCAAGGGGCTGGGTGGAGACTGAGGACCAGATGGTTCTTGCCCCCATTCCATTGTGGAGGCACCAGGCTGGGCTTCCCAGCTGGGCTGTCCAGGCTGAGGAAGAGGAGGAGGCAGGCTTCACCAGGGCTGAGTGTGTGGTAGCGGGAGCCCTCGATGGAAGCCAGGATCTGGCGATGAGTCTCAGAGATTGGTCCAGCTGCTGGGTACACGAATACCTTGAGACCACCACTCCTGCACTGGGAAGTGTCAAAGCAGGCTCCCCAGTTGCAGCTGCTGCTGTAGGGGGCTGGAAAAGGTGGGAGGGCATCTTCGGGGAGCTCCCTGGGCTGGGAGAAACTCTGCAGGAGTTCTGCATCCAGCCAGCGGGGCCAGACTTGAGGGGGCCCTGGTAGAGGTCTGAGGGGCACTGCCAGGCGGAGAAGTAGGGGGATCCCCAGGAGGATGAGGAGGAGGCAGGAGACTGACAGTGCCAGCCAAAGGGATTTTCTTCTCCACGACTGCATGTGGCCACCCACAGACCAAGTTGGAGGACACTAGGAGACCTCAGCCAGGAAGCAGGAAGAGCAGGGGCTTGAGGGTAGGTGGCTGGTGCTGGAATCAGTCTTCTAATCCAGCGACCTCAGGAAGACTGAGGCCAGGCATAAAGAGGCCAGGTGGGACCCACCTTCCTGACCTTGCCTTCCCGTGGTCAGCACTCTGCTTCCTCAGCCTTTGGACAGCCAAGCCAGCCTCTTCTGCAGGGCCCTCTGCCCCTGAGCACTGCCCAAGCTGACGCAACCCCTGTCCAGACTGCAAGGCCGTGGCCCTCTGCCCTCTTGGCTCCACCTCTTGACTTTGCCCTGGTCTGAGAGGAGGGCTGTCTGCCAGGCCATGGGTGACCCGTGAGGGCTCCCCAGGGGGTGGCTTGGCCAGGGTCCAGGGTTGGAAGAAAGCAAGGGTGGTCTCCTCAGTCCACCCCCTGTGCCGCCCCTGTGCCAGCTGACAGGCACTACTGGGCTGGGGGCCCTGCGGCCGGAGCTAAAATTAGACCCTTCACCCTATGTGGGCCATTAGGGCCAGCTGGGGTCAGGGCCTTGGTGTGGCTGAGAGGGCTGGGAGGGCTCTGGATCCTGGTCTTCTTCTCTGCTACTATCCCAGCTCCAGTAGCACAGCCTCTTCTCCCCCAATCCCAGCAGCTGGCCGTGCACCCTCTGGATTGGAGCTATCACAGTGCAGAGGCCAGATCTCCTGCCCCAGCCCCTGCCCCAAAGCCCCCAGTCCCTGTCAACGTCTTCTCCAGCTCTCTGTCTAGGCTGCCTCTGGCCGGTCTGCACCCCTTTCCCAGTGGCAGCCTGACTCCTCCCCTGCCAGCCCTGATTCGCTCCTGGCTAGGAGGCAAAGTCTCCACTTAACCCCTTTCAAACCAGATCTCTCGATTGTTCATCATCATAAGAACCAGCAGATAGCACAGCTCACAGTTTGCAGGAGCTGCCACAGCCTCCATCTCTCTGAATCCTCGCAGCAGCCCTTTAAGGCAAATGATTTATCACTGTCATTTTTTACAGATGAGGCAAGTGACACTCACAGAGGGAATAGACTCTTCCTAAGGTGACACATAACAACAACAACAACAAAGGTGACACAGCTAAGAAGTGGTAGAATGGAATTTGAGCCCTGAGCTACTAACTCTAATCCTGGTGGTGTAGTGCCTAAGGCATTGGACTGCTAACCAGAAGGCTGGCGGTTCAAACGCACCAGCCACTCCTCGGAAGGAAGGTTGGGCAATCTACTTCGGTAGTAATATTGCCTTGGAAACCCAAGAAGGAGGGGTCGCTATGGGTCAGTTTAGTTTGGATTGGTACTGCTGCTGGGGATGTGAATGTGAGGAGTCTACAAACCAACAGAAGAGAAAGTCAAGAGAAGAAATAAGTGAGGAAGAGTAGGGGCTGGGGGAGATTGGGAAAGGTGCTCCCAACTACCCCCAGGGTTGGTCCTGTGTTCCTCCAGCCCCTCCCCCATCTAGTTACCACCTTTTAGGCCCCACTCCTGGTACCTTTCACTCAGGTACACAGGTCTGCCCTTGTCTGGAGCTATGCAGGCTTAGTGGTATTCTTAGTCCTGGGGGGGAGTTCTTCCCGGGGTTGAATTTGACCATTCATTAGTTCATGCTCCATTGAGGGACTTCCCTGGTCAGTTCCTAGACCTGGGCTCTATTAGGGGAGTCAAGGAATGAGTGATGGGGGAGACACAGATCCTGACCACCAGGAGCTCTAGTCTGATGAGGGAGGCCCCATGGAATGAAGCAGATCTGGAGCTGAACTCTGCCTCTACCCTTTACTAAGGAGCCCTGACAGCAAAATGGTTAAGAGCTTTAAAGTTGGCTGTTTGAACCACCAGCCACTTCTTACTCCTCAGGGTGGGAGGGGCCTGGGGATCTGCTCCTGTCAAGATTACAGCCTAGGAAACTCTATGAGGCAGTTCTACTCTATCCTAAACAAACCTAAACCAAACCCACTGCCATCGAGTCAATTCTGCCTCATAGCAGCCCCCACTGGTTTTCTGAGGTGGTAACTCTTTATGGAAGTAGATTGCCTGGTCTTCCTTCCACAGACTGCCTGGGGGGTTTACTGGTGGGTTTGAACCGCCAACCTTCTGGTTAGCCATCAGAGCTCTCTACCCTATAGGGTTCCTATGAGTCAGAATTGACTTGGGTGACAAGAACAACACCGAAAAGCTGGACTCTGAGTAAAATCCTGAAGAGATGAGGGAGTGAGCACAGTGTATTTCTAGAGGAAGATCATTCTGGCCAAGGGGACCAGCCAGGGCACAGGTTCTGATGGGGACCAGGCCTGCCATGTAAGAGATACAAGCGAGGGTGAGAGGAGAAGCGGGAGAGGAGGCCAGAGAATTGCAGGGCCATGGAGGCTGTTAGAAATGCCCTTCATTGTGGAGAGCAGTGGCCTAGAGGTATGACCTGACCTTGTTTTCACAAGACCACATGGGCTATAGGGAGAAGCAGGGAACCCTATTGAACCATGCACATGTGCCATGATGGTGTCTTGGACAAGGGTGGGAGAGTGGAAGAGGTGAGAAGAGGTCACATTGTGGATATTTTGGAGCTAGGGCAGAAGGACAGATGTGCTAACTGATTGGGTGTGAGGTTTGGCTTGAGCACAGGTAGTATGGAGTTGCCATCAACTGAGATGGGCAAGACTGAGGGAGGAGCAATTTTGGGGAAGAAGAAAATAAGTGTGTTTCTGAGGCTAAGAATCATGTCTCATTCATCTTTCTTATTCCTAGCACTGGTATGATCAATGTCCAACAAAGGCTTTTTGAACGAGTGGATGGATGGATGGATGGATGGGTGGATGAACAGACAAAGCTGGGAGATCTAGAAGGACAAGGGTGGCTTGAGAGGACACTTGATTCTGCTCCAGCACCCCCAGCCCCAGCCCAGGGCTAGAGGCTTATCTAAGGTACAGCAGGTGCCCTGGGCACCACTTGGAGGAGAGGTGCCACTGAGCAGTTTCTATTGCCCATCACAGTTTCCGTCGTCAGCTGTGAGAGAGATCATTCAGCAAGTTACAACTAATACTTTCATACTGGAGAGCCTCCATGGGTCAGGGAGATTAAAGTCCTGTCCTGCTAATGGAAATGTTGACACTTCAAACCCACCAGCCACTCTGTGGGAGAAAGATGTTAGCAGTCTGCTTCTGTAAAGATGTACAGCCTCAGAAACCCTATGGGGGTGATTCTACTGTGTCCTAGGGTCACTATGAGATAGAATCAACTGGACGGCAGTGGATATGGGTCAAGGCAGACTGTGTGATCTTGCTCTGCTCAGTGTAGAAAGAGAAGACGCTGAAAAAAATGACCTTGAGCTCATCATAGACCAATTCTCATCCATGAAAGCAAGGAAAGTACAGCTGTAATTTTCAAGTAGTGCCATAACGTGCCAAGTAAAAGATTGCTGAGCTCGGCTTGTATTTTCAAGCTGATATTATGATAAAGTTATCTACAAGATAGGTGTCAGATGTTTGGACAGGAGTGCAACTTCAGTGCTTGCTATGGGCGCTGTTTTCCATAGTCGCACCTCTGCCCAGGGCACAAGCTCTCTCCCACCTCCATCCCTACAAAAGAGGTTCTCAGACCAGCTGAGGCCTGGACTTGTCAGGACTTTGATTCACAGAGTTGCCCTTGAGGCTTGGTTAGAGGAAGAGAAGGCAGGACGTCCTGGCAGGCAGGGCTGAGCAGGGCTCATCCTAAAAATAGATCTCTGGGCTCTACCAAGCAGAGGCCTATCTAGGATATGGCAGATACTGCACGTGGGCTAGGCGCCACTTGAGAGGAGGTGCAAATGAGCAGTTTCTATTCTTCACACAGTCTCCATTACCAGCTGTGAAAGATCATTCAGCAATTTCAGACTAATTGCCATAGGCACTGTTTTCCGTAGTCAGCCACTACCACTGAGGGCTCCAAGACAGCCATCGGGCTCTTTGGGCCTCATCAAACCCACTAGGAGTCCCTGTCCTATACTTGGGCCACAATCAATATGACAGAAGCTGACATTTAGGGGCAAAGCAGGAGGGAATGGGTGGCAGGGAGGTGGCAGCAGCCTAGGCTCTGGTTCAGTATAGAAAAGCTTCCCAAAGGAGGCTGTTTTTCCTGCAGGGCAGGGTTGAAGCAGGCCTTAGAGTGGATTTGAGGACAAAGTGTTCTCTGGCTGGCATCCTGGAGCTTCTGAGAACCTCAGTTTTGGTGTCACTGCTGTGGTGGCATCAGAGCTGCCTGGGGGCTGCCTGGGGGCTACCTGAGCATGGGGTGGCTTCCAGCCTGAGGTGTCAAGTATCAGATTGGCTAAGGTGGCCAGGCAGAAAATGGGGACAACACCGTGTTTGACCAACGTGTTTCCTCTCTGCATCCTGCATCTGCCTCACTCCCGCCCTCCCTGCCTTCTCTGGGCTGTGTCCCAAAGTCTCCATAAAGAATGGATCTAGTAGTCTTCAGGGAGAAAGGCGGCTAGAGCACTGCTAGTGCGGTGGTGAACAGCACAACCCAAGTGCTCTTTAAAAATGCTCTTAAGAAGCTTTTATTTTAAGAGCCCAACTGCTCTTAAATGTGTTCCTGGGCAAGTTACTTCACCTCTCTGTGCTTTCATTTCCTCATCTGTAAAATGGACATAGTAATAGCTCCTCCCTCAAAGGCTTGCTGGCAAGAGGATTAAATGATATAATGAATGTACAGCATTCAACACACCATGCCAGGCATGGAGAAGGCACTTAGCAAATGGTATCCTCTGTCCCTTCTCTAACCCAGGGAGACATGAGATGACTGCCCAGGCTATCAAGCTGTCCCTCTGGGGCTGATCAGGCCCAGGCCTTGGGTTTCCCCCTCTTGCACCCATGCTATTTCTGCTGCACCTCTGCACCCAGCCGGAAAAAGGAGACACTGGGGGAGCTCTAGGAAGCAATCGCCATGGAAACCCATCTGTTGCCTCTTGTCTGCTGTTGTTTGTTCCTCTAGT